TTTCTGAGTTTGTTGCTACATGTCTGACGTGTCAACAAGTGAAAGCTGAACATCAAGTGCCTTCGGGATTGTTACAACCCATTTCTATTCCAGAGTGGAAGTGTGACAGAGTCACAATGGATTTTGTTATAGGGCTACCTTTGACATCAAATAAGAAGGATTCTATTTGGGTGATAGTTGATTGGTTAACTAAATTAGCACATTTCATTCCGGTGTGAATGGACTATGCCTTGGATAAATATGTAGAGTTTTATATCAAGGAGATTGTTCGGCTACATGGAGTACCATATCAATCATATTCGACAGGGATCCAAGGTTCACTTCAAGATTTTGGAATTCTTTGCATAAAGCTTTGGGTACTTGATTGAATTTCAGTATGACATTTCATCCACAGACGGATGGTCAATCAGAGCGTACTATACATATATTGGAGGATATGCTAAGAGCATGCGTGATTGAGTTCAAGGGATCATGGGAAAAGTATTTTCCCTTAGCAGAATTTGCCTACAACAATAGCTATCAATCGAGCATCAAGTTGGCTTCATATGAAGATTTATACGGGAGAAAATGTGAACACCATTAAATTGGTTCGAGTTAAAAGATCGAAATCTAGTTGGCCCAGATTTATAGAAAGAGGTTGAAGATAAAGTGAAGATAATTCAAGATAAACTCAAGATGGCATCTGATCGGCAGAAGTCTTATGTAGACTTGAAGCGAAAATAGATTCAATTTTAGGAAGGCGATAATTTTTTCTTAAAGTATCACCTAGAAAAAGATTTTGTGTTTTGGGCACAAAGGAAAACTAAGTCCAAGATTCATTGGACCTTATGAGATCTCAAAGTGTGTTGGACTGGTGGCTTATCAATTAGCATTACCTCCGGAGTTGGACAAAGTACACAGTGTTTTTTATGTGTCGATGCTTAGAAAGTATCGATCATATCGTTCACATGTCATTGCATTGTAGGAAATTGAGACCCGACCAGATTTGACTTATAAAGAAGAACCAATACGGATATTGGCTCGAGAAATCAAAGAACTGCGTAGGAAGACGATTCCTCTAGTCAAAGTACTTTGGCAAAATCATAAAGTCAAGGATGCCACTTAGGAAAGAGATGAGGACATGAGAAAGCAGTATCCATACCTCTTTATATCAGGTACGTCTTAAAATTCGAGGAAGAATTTTATTTAGAGGGAGATTTGTAATACCCCAAAATTTAGATAGTGACCAAAATAAAAAGTTTACAAGTTTGGTGACCAAATCATAAACTTTGAAAAAGTTTAGGGACTAAAATGGTAATTTGAAAAAGTTACATTTTGTCCTTGTAAATAAATAGTTTATCTCAAGAATAACGTTTCTGTGGGAATCAGAATGTTAATACAAGTTTTGTAATAAAAGTTATAAAGCGAGGAAGTTGAGAAAAAATTCGGTGAATCGGATCGAATAAAAAATTCAGAAAAATCTGAAGGGTGATTAATTAGACCTGAAAATACTATTTTCACATTTTTAAATGTTATAAAATAATATAAATCTTGAGATTTAAGGGTTTAATTCCGTGTTTAATTTGGACCGTTGGCTTAAAGTGGCAAGATTATGATTTTTGGAAAAAGGCAATGGCAAATCGATAAACTAAGATCTTATTTTTTTCATCTTTGACTTATGGGATATGATAAGGTTGAGGTATCTTATTTTGGAAGATGATAAGGTTAGGTGTCTTGGTTTAATGGTAATTATGAAGTTTTATTAAGGGTAAATTGGTAGTTTCCTAGTTTAATGAATTTATTATTCATTAAAGGTAAATTTAGCATGAAAAATATCTAAATTTCATTCCAGAGTTGTTCATCATCCTCTCCATTGTCGTGAGTTATACCAAGATTATGAAAAATATTTGTTTTCCATTTTTAAGTCATTTCCTTTGGATTTCAAGTTATGCCGTGAAATAGGAAAGAGATCTAGTCAAAAAACGCTATCATTTTGTACCAACTATGCTTACTCAACTTGCTTAATTTCAAAGATCTCAAATCTTAGGGTTTATGTTCATGTAAGGGTTCATGAAATTGATGATGAATATTGATGTTTTTGAGGTTGTAGATTAATTTTCAGGCATGAATTATGATTAAAACATGTTCAAACTTCCTAGATATGATTCTATAAATTTCGATCAAATGAAGAAATTGGAGAACTTGGTGTTTTGATGAGATTTGATTAGGTATTTGGTTGTAGAGATGTTGTAAGGTTGATTGGAAATTGATTTCTTGCTTGAATCGAATAAAAATCGAGCAAAATCATGAAACCATAATTTTAAAGGATAAAGCATTCGATCATGATGTATTTGAGTGAGAACAATTGAGCAAATATTATATAAGGTCTGGAATTGATGTATAAAGTATTCTACAAGCCTTATAAAAATTTGGGGACCATTATATAATTTTTTAAAAGTTAGGGGACTAATTTGGAATTTTGGAAAAGTTGTAAATGGTTGTATAATTGTTTAATAGTTGATGTACTATGCTGAAAAATAATGTTTTGTAATTGAAATGAGTGTTTAGATGTGAAATAAGACCATTTTGGAAGTTTGAAAAGATTGGTGAGCTTAGTATAACATTAGCATAGTTGGGGTACTTAAATGTAATTATGCCTTTGTAAAAGCATTTGAATGGTATTAATTTCAATGCCAAAATTTTGGTATTAAGAATCTAAGTGATAAAAATGTAAAGGACCATTTTGTGTAAATTGGAAAAGTTGGAGCCAATGTTAGAAAGGAATTATTACGTGTTAAGTATTTTGGTAGAAAATGAGTTTCAAGTATATTATGGATTTTGTTTTGGGAATGTGTTTATGTCAGTACAATACTAGCATATGTATTGTTATGAATTTGTGAATTGTACAGATCGTGATTGATTTGTGATCGAAACAAGTCAAGTATAATAGGGTTTATTGTGGATCGTAGTGAGGCACATCTTTTGGGTATATAAAGTGTCAAGCTGAGTGCAATACATGCATGACATTGTACATAGATGCTTTATACATCATCTGGAAGACTTGCAATAAGTCGACCATGTTTATATCAACATGATGTTATGTCATTTTTATAGGTTCGATATGACATTGATATGCCACAGTGTGAAATTGCAGTGCATTGATCTTGAATAATATAGTATTTTACCATGAATGTTATTTTGGGTATGAACAAACCTAATGTAAAATATATGGTTATATGATACCATGGATGAATGAATTAGACTATATGCCCAAGTAAGTCGTTGAAGGACAGGGTATAGTTGGCTTGCCATAGAGTATAGCAACTGCAGGTTTATATTAGCACTATAGTGTGTAAGGACACTAAGTGCATATGGTGGGCACGACCTTATGTGTAATGTACTACGATGCATATATTACTCGAATACCCAGGGTCTTCATAAAATTACTTGTGGGCTATAGCTATTGGTTGAAATGTTAATATTTATATCGTATTGTTTTGATCATGGTAAAATATTGGATATGCAGGTAACATGATTTTATGGCATTTTGATATTAAATTTCATGCATGATATGTATTGTACTATTTATTGTTTTAAATTGCCTCACTAAGTATATACTTAGCGTGTGTTGATTTTCACGCGTAGGTAAAAAGTCAGTAGTAGAATAAAGAGTTCGGAGCGACATCAAGCATCACGGAGTATATTTCCATATCAGTAATACATCCTATGATGTGATTTTGACTTAGTTAGTGGCATGTACTTACCAATATCCTAGTTGCTCTGTTGAACTATTTTGGAACTGTTTGTAATAACTAAACTAAAATGTTTTACTCTATTTTCAGTATGGATAGCATAAATACATACTAATATATGTTTTAAATAGTATGTGATAGTTTAATGTCATATGATATTTTTTTCATTATCAATTATCTTTTTAAGAAAAAAAATTTTAAATCAGTTTTGAATTGGAAAATATTTTGAGAAAGTCAGGTGACATCTATAATCTGTATAGGTATAATTATATGGGTTTTAGGTGTTACAACAGTGGTCCCCTCCAAGGTGGTTAGCAACAGAGAACACGTGGTGAAAAGGACAGATGGTCTTGTGTGGAAATATCTTCAACTTCTTTGTGTCCTTTTCTGCACCCATAATTGTTGCGGCATGTTCCTTTGGACTCACCACAACAAAGTTTCTTTGCACACCCTTGCTCCTAAAACATGCACATCAACATCCAAACCAGGCCTTCCCCATAAAATAGCACCATAGACATAATAAAATGTCAATTCAAAACAAATCCACCAAATGCAATTATATTCTCCTAAATGCATCTATATGAACCTATATGCGCTTTAAGATATTCAATAACTTAAGTGAAAAGACCCTAAATATAGTCTTTTTACGGAGTTACCAACTACTAAAATAGTTTGGTTAACTGGGTTGTTGGAATAGTTGGGGGTAAAGAACAAAGTGCATGTTACACTTTTCAATGATAGCAAGATAGATTGTCATTTTATTCGAGAAAAAAATACAAGTCAAGCTGATAGAAACAATGTATGTATACACAACAAAGCAGACTGAAGACATTTTTCCTAAGGCATTGTAAATTCAACAACATAACTATTTGATGAAAAAGTTGGGAGTTAAAAACATATTTCACTCTCCAAAATGGCAATGTTGAGATAATTAGCTGTTTACATTAGTTAGCAGTTAGTTTGTTGAGATAGTTATGCATTTGTATTTTATTCTTACTATATAAGAACAATGAATGTATTTATATAATTGAAATAAGTGAAATATTTTCCAAATAAGTTTTATGTTTTAACACTTTCTTATTGACAAATAGTAAGTTTTTATATTCTAGGGTTTACGGAAGTCTTTGACATCAAAGATAAAAGAATTCATTTAATTTTTTACTATTCAATACTCGTCTACTTGTTGACAAATAGTATGTTTTTATGCTTTTCGGTGTACGTTTTTTTATAAGGATGATTGGAAATGTTTCCCTCGAAAGCAAGGGGAAATTAACAAGAACATGTTGACAAGTTCTTCATCTCACTTGTTTCTATATCAGAACCAGCGATGTCATCAATCTTTGATCCTTTTAAAGCAGTGGCATGACCATTGGATTTCCCATTCCCAAATTCCAAAGGATTTTTAGAGATCTCAGCGTAAATCTCTTCCAGTAACTCGAAAAAAGCCTTATCCACGTTGTCACCAGTAAGCGCAGATGTCTCGGCAAAGAACAGGCGCTGCTCCTTCGCGAACTCAACAGCATCTTCGGTCAGAACCGCCATCTGGTCCACTAGATCAGCCTTGTTGCCCAGCAGCATGATGCCGGTGGAGTTATCGGCGTTTGCACGGAGCTACTCCGCCCATCTCGCCAGGCTATTGAAACTCTGCCGCTTGCTCATGTCGTACACTACCATTGTCTCTAACGCACCTCTATAGTATCCACTTGTTACTGCTCGATACCTGCCCGCTCCAAATTTCATATTCAATGTTAATATACATAGCTAATTGTATCATATCTACTTAACGTATGACCCTCATTTTAAATTAATCCTTAAACTTTTAATGTTTTAATTTCATCTTTCAATTATGATTATTATTTTATATTAGTCTTTAAACTTTTGAACAATCAATTTCATCCCCTAATTATGGTATTCATTCTAAATTGGTCTCCAAATGTTTTGAACATTCCAATTTCATCCCAAGCTATACATATATACTAATCACATCCATTGTTAAGAAAATTGTTAAGTCAAGTTATATTATTATATGTTTAAAGAAACAAAATTTAGGTTAAATTATGGTTGAAACTAATTATATATTTTGATGAATTTAGGGATGAAATTGTAATATTCATAAGTTTGGGACCAATTATGAAAGAAGGTCATAATTTAGGAATGGAATTAAAATATTCAAAAGTTTAAGAACTAATTTAGAATGAAACTTATATAATCTAGGAATAAGATTAAAATATCAAAAAAATTAAAAATCAATTTAAAAATAAATATTAGAAATTAGAAGCATATGGTACAATTCACTTTAATATATACTACAAACGAACTTTTTATAGAAAACCTCTAGTTTTATTAAAAATAGAGAATATCTAGAATTACAATGAAGATTTACGAACATAAAACGTAAACTAAATTATAATTAGGACATTTTCCTATAACCATTAACACAAAAACTAGCCACCTAGATAACACAAGGACCATAAAAGGAAAATGTTAAAAAACCTAACCAATGCTCAAATAAAATAAAGATATGAACAAATCAAACTGTATCAGAAAAAGAACTACAAAACGTGATGAAACTATTGAAAAACCACCGAAAAATCGTAAATCATGGTCAAGCAACGTGATAAAACTATCCACGAGCGCATAACGCATATCCAAATCAATCCGAGGGTCTAAAGCAGGGAAGATCAACATGATAACAAATAAGCGCCATCTTGATTAGTCGTGGCGATGTCAAATCCAATCCTTTGAAAATTGATAAACGTCAAAAAACCGTAAGCTACCAAAAGACAGAGATTTATGTGTCATAAAGGTAGAAAACATGTCACAAAGACATAATTATTCTTAACTAAAAAAATAAAGAAAAAAGATAACCGACGGGTGGCAACCAACATCGAAACTGGTGTCGCCACCGGTTAAACAAAATTAAAGAAGAAAAAATTGGATTAATCAATAAAATTGACACAAGTTGTATATAAGGAAAAAAATGAAGAGAGAGGAGGAGGAAGAAAGCGGCTAGGATTTTTTTATCAATAAAAATAAAATGTGACCTTAATTTCACAAGGACCATAAAATGTTAATTTCATGAACAAGGACCATAAAAGAAAAAAGTTGGATTGATCAATAAAATAAAATGTTAATTTTACAAAACAAGTTTTAGATTTTTTTATTAATCTTCAAATTTAAAAGTATTATAATTAAATTATTAAAATATCAGTCATATATAAATATCATAGTTTTATAATTTAAATGTTATTTTGGATCATGGAGTGTAACACCCTCAACCCATACCCGACCTGAATATGAGTCGAGGATGTCACATTGGCTATACAAAACAATACTCTTAAAAAACAATAAAACATTTGAACTTATATTATTAAAATACAATAATATACATATGTTAATACAAGTTTATCAAAATACTTAGAGAATACACAACTTGACCCTTTGATTACATGCCAACATTCATTTACATAACAAAAGGACCTACTAATTAAGTTGCCTCTGATATGATAGTTGCAGGAGTAATGTTGTCCAGCTGCTTAACCTGTCTCGTCTACTTTCTCGGATCCTACGTGTGAAACACTCAAACGCTAAGTCATCGACTTAGTGAGACAATATAATAATAATAACAACAAAGAAATGTAATGAAAATGCCATAATAAGATGGAATGAGATGAAATCAAATACTTAACCATGCAGTTTATATCACCATGTTCCTTACCTATAAGCATAGTACATTAACATTCATGAATTCGTATTAATAAGTTTATTGGCCCATGATACCATACTGAGAACCTAAGGTATGTGAGTACTGTGAGGTTGTGCACTATGTTGTCACCACAGCTCGTATAAATGCACCGAAGTGCTACATAGAATTGCACCGAAGTGCAGCGTAGAATTGCACCGTAGTGCCATATAAGATTGTCCCGAATGACCACGTAGAAAATTCGTTAAGAATCTTATACATATACCAAGGATCAATTATGTTTCTCAAAAGACCTCACACATGTTTCAAAGAATACATATATGTCCCGAAAGACCGCGTAGACCCTCTACTCTTGGCATGCCAACTATACCTATAGTTCTCATCTACAAAACATGGGATTTTTCCCAAATTACATAGTATATCACATTGACATATCATTTCCTTACCTTCATCACATGGCTCATATAACTTTGCATACATAATCATTTAAAACATGTTACACAATGCACATAGTATGAATTCATATCATGCTTCACAATATGAAATGAATCATGCATCAATGTATTGAATCTAGACTTCTCATAAGTCTAGAACTGAATATATCGCTATAGTCATGTTATGCATATGAACTCACCTATATTTCTTTGTTTTTTCCTCGATCGATCTTATTGGGTAATCGCTCTGGAACTTGTGTAGGCTCTGTATCTACATAGTAATTCATTGATACTTATCAGTATACTAATTAATATATTCTAAACTATCATTCCTCAGGATAAAAGAAAAAACATTTTCATCTTTTAATGAAGGTATGCATCGATGCACTACATCATGTATCGATGTATCCCTTGACGGTTGCATCGATGCACTATCTATGCATCGATACATAAATCCTATTCGATGTTTGTATTTAAGGGGGTGCATCGATGCACTACTTGTGCATCGATTCACTAATGGCATTTGATGTTTTAATTTTAAAGGAGTGCATCGATACACCTTGAACAATTTCTAGGATTTATCCTTGATGCATCGGTATACATTGAATGTGCATCGATGCACATTGCCCAGAAATGTCATTTTTAGCACAAAATCCCTTTATAATCCCCTCAATACTACATAATTCACCTCCTTTTATATCCCTAACTTGCATACTCTTACTTAAACTAATTATTATCCATTCCATACCTATAAAACTTAGAAATCCAATTCTCCATATAGAATTTAAGAATCTCACTCAAATTCCAACATATTCTTAATCTAATTGTAACACTTCCTATTCCTTAATTAGCTTGATGACAAGTCAAATCCCACTTCCAATTCTTATTATGAACTATATTCCAAGATTTCACTTTTCTACTTCTTTTCTTTAATCCTTCCTAACTACATCCTCTTTTGATTTTAAGATAACCTAAGCTTTCCTTAAGCTTAGTTATCATCTAATGATCAATAAGCAACCTTAAATTCATCAAGAATTTGATCAACAAGAAAACTCACCTTTAGCTTGGCTTCACGGTGGAGCAGAAGAATGAAGAAGAAGAGAAATCTGGAACTTTGGTTTTCCCCAATTTTCTTCCACGTGGGTATTAAAATATCCATTCAAAAGTAATATTTAATTGATTCCCTTATTAAAAGACTTATTTACCCCTTTTGTCCTTCTTCTTTGCTAATTGCTCCTACACAAAACATTTCAATCAATTCTTTGAACATTTTAATTTATCCAATTTGGTCACTAAATTTTTAAATCTCACAATTTGATCACTAACCCGGTATGGAGGATGTTACAAATCTCCCTCCCTTAAAAAATATTATCCTCGAATTTTCATTATACGAACAGATTAAGATATTGAAGTCGCATATCTTCTTAATGTTCCCACGTGGCTTCTTATACCTTGTGACTTCTCCAAAGAACTTTGACCAACGGAACTGTTTTATTTCTCAATTGCTTAACTTCGTGAGCCAATTTTGTATTGGATCCTCTTAATACGTCAAATCAGGTTGAACTTCTACTTGTTCTGGTGCAACAATGTGAGAGGGATCGGACCTATATCTTCATAACATGGACACATGGAAAACATTATGGATTTTTTGCATTTCTGGTGGCAAAGATAACTGATATGCTACTGGTCCTATTCTTTTAACAATTTCATATGGCCCGATGAATCTAGGACTTAGCTTTCTTTCCGACCAAATCGTAATACTTTTTTCCATGGTGATACCTTCATAAACACTTTATCCCCAACTTCAAATTCAATCTCCTTTCTTTTAAGGTCATAATAGGACTTTTGCCGATCAAATGTTACTTTTAGGTTATGTTGAATTTCCCAAACTTTCTCTTCCATATCTTGAATCAAATCTGGACTGAGTACATTTCGATCTTTGAGCTTATTTCAGTTTAATGGAGTGCGGCATTTCCTCCCATATAACACCTCATAAGGTGCCATTTTAATACTGGACTGATAACTATTGTTGTAAGAGAACTCTGCCAGTGGTAAGTATTTCTCCCACGACCCTTTAAACTCAATGACACATGCTCGCAACATATCTTCCAATATTTGAATTGTTCTTTCTGATTGTCCGTCTATCTGAGGGTGAAAGGCGGTACTAAAGTTTAAGCGAGTCCCCAAAGCTCCATGCAAGGATTTCTAGAATCTTAAGGTGAATCGAGGATCTCGATCAGAAATTATAGAAACAGACACTCCATGCAATCTAATAATTTCTCTAATATACAGCTTCGAATACTTTTCCATAGAGAAATATGTTCTGACAGGAAGAAAATGTGTTGACTTGGTCAATCGATTAACAATTACCCAGATCGAATCTCTTTTGTTTGGAGTCAGGGGTAACCCCGAAATAAAATCCATCGTTACATTTTCCCACT